GAAATGGAACTGCCGAAGGATCAGTCTTGGAACCACTACTAGGCCTCCTGACCAGACTCATTCAATCTCATCAGCTGCTTGTCTGCTTGCACGGGGTCACCAAGAGTTCTCATGGCTTGGACAAATGAGACAACTTGTGATTGCCTCATGCACAAACACACTTGGACAAGCGATTTTCCACCCTTCTCATACCCCTTCTTAGTTCTCTTCATTTGCTTTGAAGAAAACGGGCCACGTAGCTGCACCTTTTTTGGCACCGTCTTTGGCTTGGGCAGCTGCAGCTGCGGCAAGGCACATCATCAATTTACCGCAAGATCGTGCGCACCCTCTGACCGAGCTGCCCAACTGACCAATGGCTCCTCCCCGAACCACAACAGAACCCATGTCCACAACCTGTCATCTAAATGATCTGCTTGTCTCCACTTCATGTTGCCACATGTCCAGTTTCAACAATTCCCAAAGCTTCACAGTCTCTCCCCCTGCCTCTCGGTATGCACCACACGGCGAGTCGTCGTACCTGGCAATTTCGGTCTGTGGATCGCTGCGGTTTGGAGCTGCACCCGCTGCACCCGATTTTGTGGGCAAGGCACTCCAGGCAGACCAGACCTCCCAAAGTCCATCCAAAGAGCGAAAGGAAGGATACCTCACATGGATGGCGATACTTCGGTCGTGGCGAACTCACCGAAGTCCAAGCCTGGCCTCTTTCGGCTGAGTCTTCACTTGCTGAATGGCTGGACGGAACCACGCCTGAGCTAGAGCTTTTCTGATGCTGACCAGATCAAAAGGTGCGAAAGCCATCAAAGGCTATCAATCAAGGATTGACTGCAACAAACTTGTGGTTGAGCCACATCGGCAAACCTGGGGTCGTTCCTTGTATCAATCACGTTGCAAGTATGTTTGGAATCCAAGGTCACATACGCCAACATGGCCCTACGAGCTTTAACCTATCAATCCCAACTAAGCCACTCGTCCAGTGAAGACCCATTGGACATCGTCAGCATCGTCATCCTTTGCCCCCCTTGCGATTCACCCGTTTCTGGCAAGTCAAGGCATGGCGCATGCCGCACATGCCTCAGCTTCGTGCGGCGGCATGCGCCAAAGACCAGAATGATACAAAATGATTCCTTTCAATGATTCCTTCCACTTATCATCAAAACATCTAGCAGTTGATCTGTCTGTTTCCGAGTAAGTGCATCTAAACATCTTTGAGAGCAGAATCTCAAGGACTCGGGCCAGCAAGAAAGGCGAAGGACCTCACAGCAGGTTGCCTGGGACTGGCTGATCGTTCCCTCCAAATTTAAGCTCACTGTATTTGAACCATTTGATCCATGGCTGATGAGACCTGTTCACGCCTCCATCGGCAGCCGTCGTCCCAGCTAGCTTTCCGATACCGTCGAAGGGGCTGCAACCTCTCCAGGGAGAATAAAGAGGAAAGCTCTGGACTTAGGTCAAAAAAAGTTGGACTCTAGCAAGGTCAGTTATTCTTTCTTAAGCCCGCTCCTACTTAATTAAGTAAGGGAGTAAGCTACTAGCTACTTAAGCTACTACATATGAACGCAGGATAGTTCACTCTTCTTCAAGCAAGCTCCCCTGAGGGTGGGGGGAGTTTCCTTGAAGAAGCGCTCGCACTAATGATTTGGTTCCTAGACTTTTTGGGAAACTTGAAAGGAGATATATATAGAGAGAGAGAGAGAAGAAAAGAAAGAACAAACCCTACCGGCCCAGCCCAAGCCTCCTTGTTGAGAGGCTGTGCTTAACGACCCCATGCAGCGCGCAGGGTTTCTGTACCGCAGCTGGAAACTCCATGGCCAGTTGGATGGCTGATGGCTGTGTGGTCCGCTTAGCGTCATTGATTAGCGGCTGATGGGACTAAGGATCAAAATGATCTGGCCAAAACTTCAGTTCAGCTCAGTTCAACTGTGCACAAACCCGCCAGAGTAGGTTTGACTTCATGTTTCATTGATTTCCATCGTATAGGGTCCAAATGCTCGGTTTGTTGATTGGTCATAACTCCACCACAATACTCAGAGGGATCGTTGCAACATCGTGAGCCTGTGGCACGTAGGGATAATGTGTAGACAAATGCCATCGAATCCATTGTGATATGGCCCCTAGTAGCGTGCTTGCTCCTAGTCAAAGGAAGTTTAGTGTACGAAACTTCCGTGTTACGGACATTCAAGAACTGTTCATACACCACTCATCAATAAACCACTCATCATACACCACTCATCATACACCACTCATCATACACCAC